AAACATTTTATTATTTTCCGCATTTGATTGATTATGATATTGATGTTGATTGTATGTGTTTACTAATCGGTTTGGCAATAGAATAAATCGGACGCCTTGTACAACTCAATAGGGATGAACTGTTGTTGTTCTTATCGGGTTGTACGGCGGTTGTCTACGTGGCTCGGATGGGGTCCGGGGCGTGACATTAAGTTTGAGCACGCGTGACCCTTTCCCTTTACCCCCTGTGCATAATGCATTTTTGGCCATCGAGGGTGATGCCAAAATTCAAGTTTGGGGGAGTGAATTGGGCATCCGGGCAGTAGTTGTTACATGTGATTTTTAGAGTTAGCATGCGCAGGTGTTAGTTGTATATTCATAGGAAATTCATGTCTAATTTTTGAAACCTTTTCTTTAAACTGGGTCTTTGTGAGCTGGCAAGCGTTTGACTATGCCTTTAAAACATCTTTAAAGTGTTTAGGCTTAAATTGTTTGCACTATAATCTAGTTGTTAAGAGGATGAAGGCATTAGTCACTCATGGAATTAATTCATAAATCTTCCATCCCACCTGAAAAAAACCCTTTAGGAGAAGCCATTTTGAGCTTAACCATTTTTATTCTTTACCCAATTAATTGAGCTCCATAGCTAAATGGCCTGTTTTCTTACCCGTGAATATTTCTGACAAAGTCTTGATGTTTAGGGAATTAAGAGATTAATTTGCTAAGTTTAGGGAATTTGTGTAGGAGCCATTTTTGGCACTGTTCCTATGTCTCAAAGTGGGGTAAGAGCAGTCACCTTTTAGGAATTTGATATTTTCGAGGATTGCATTGTAGGCATGATTCACTTTAATAAATGAACTTTAATTGCTATTTTTCCTTGGTGAGGCCGAGATTAGAATGGGGTAATGTCTAGTGAGAATCTGAAAGGTGAAAAATTAATATAGCTAGACCTCTTACCTTGCGAAAAAGAGTATGGGAGCCTGGGTCAAAAAGTGTAAGTGTTATGCACAATAAGATGAGACCTTGGGTATCCTTCGTAAGAAATGGCGTTCTCGTGCCAACATGACAAGGAAAACTAAACTTATTTAATGAACTTGTAGGATTTAGCAAAATTAGCTTTAGTCCTCCACGTACTTCAAGTATACGTCAAAGCACCAATGTGCCGCGGCGGTTTAGCTTAGTTGTACACCATGTCTAATCTTTGCATAGGTTTAGATGATTGTTCATAAATTGTGGCCTAATGAGTTCCTTGACCCTAAGAATAGCCCTGAAGTTTCTGAATGCATTAGGTCTTTGTTAGAATGTTCCAATCTCTCAAAAGAAAGGGACTGTTTATTACCATTCACCATTCACTATCACCTTCACAAGTCCTTCTGATCACTAGCTAGTTTATTTGTGTAAGCCGTCATTACTTTGAGGATGTTGTGAATAATATTGTCATTGAAGTTAGCCAGAGTACAAAGATGTCGTTTAGGGAAGAAATTTCTTGATTCAGTCTGGCTGTTTTGTGAGTATCCATGTAACTACCTGTGCATGCTAATTATTTTAATTTCGTGCGGTGATTATTGTAAGTCCCGTTGTTCGATTTGTTTGAGGACAAGCAAAAGCTTAAGTGTGGGGGAATCTGATAAGTGCGTATTTCAACACGCATTTGATGCGTGTTGGAGTCGGATTTTGATGGTTTTTCCTCACTTTAAGGCGTCGTAAGTGTCATGTTTAGCTCAAGTCACGTTAGCCGGGTGTTGGAACGAGTTTTGCCATTTTTAGATATTGAAATCAGGTCTTTTAGGGCCCGGTATCGAGGCTTGAGGAGTGATCGGGACGAGTTAAGGAGTGTTCGAGAGTGAATTCAGAGTTTTGAAGGGCACCGGAAGATTCACGATGAAGATTTGATGAAGAAAGAGCTGTTGGATTGATCGTGGGGTCAAACGGGGACTTGAACGGGAGAAAACAAGGAATTCGGAAGGAAAAAGGTCACGCACGGCCGTGCGTGCAAGGACGCACGCGTGCGTGCGTGGCAGTAGCATCCAAGAGCAAGGAAGATGGACGCACGGTCACACATCCGGGGAGGCACGCGTGCGTCCGATGAAGAGAACGACCTGGGACTTACTGGCAGCCACGCCCGCGTGCGTGGCAAGAGACGCACGCGTGCGTCCCTCTGTTTACGCGGATCTCCGTCGGGCGCACGGACGCCATGCACGCGTTCGTTGGCGCCATGCGTACCCAAATTTTTTCTTAATTCAACCCAAATTGCCTTGTTTCCTTTAAATAACACCCCGGCCTCGCAAGCTCCTAGGTAGTTACTTCTGACCTCTAGTATTGTCCTCACAAACCACCACGAACCTTTACCACGCACTTTGTCCTCACTCGTGCGCGCCATGAGAAACTTCCCAAGGGTCACCCATCCCAAGACTACTCCCATGCAAGCACGCTTAACTTTGGAGTTCTTGAGTGATGAGCTCCCTTAAAAGGAGATGCACCTATGTTTTTATGAGTAGTACTATTAATCCGTTTAAATTAAATCTCAAGTGTTACAGGTACACCCTCGGCCGCAGCAAAATAACACCACGGACGTCCACAAGAGTATGATCCATCAATTGGTCAAAACCACAAAGCCATGGACGTCCGCAAACCATGAGATCCACCGTCGGTCAGAATGACAAGGACACCACGAACGTCAACCCTCGGTCAAGCCAAAGCGCATAGCAGGACGCACATCATCCTCAATATCAAGGACACCACGGACGTCCACCTTCGGCCAAGCCAAAGGGCAAAGCAGGACGCACATCGTCCTCAATATCAAGGACACACCTCTTCCTCAAGGCCAATGACACACATCGTCTTCAAAGCAAGACATTTATCGTCCTAAAAAACCATGGACGCACAACACGCAATGTAAGGACCTCCATCGTGCTCAAGATGGAGGACGTTCATCGGCCTTAGAATGAAGGACATAAGGCAGCTAACAATTATGGCACCGCCTCGGCCTCGAAAAGAAGGACATTCCTGACGGCTCAGCTATGGCACCGCCTCGGCCAGAAACGCCAGAACACCCAGGTAATCCTCCAAAGGCCAAAAGCTTCAAGACAACAAAGATCTACTCCCTTTCACTTTGTCTATGTCTCAGCTCAGAGAGTGGGGGACTCCTGATAGAGTACATGGGTCCAGATCCCATGACCCACATACTTCCACTACTACGAAAAGCCCCAAGTGGCCCAAACACAACAAACAAGGCCCCGGGGACGTACGTCACTCAGGACATGGAGGACCCCGGGGACGTACGGCCTTCAGCACATGCAAGACCCCGTGGACATACGGCCTTCAGCACATGGCAAGACCCCGGGGACGTACGGCCTCCAGCTTATGGCAAGACCCCAGGGACATACGACCTCCAGCTCATGGCAAGACCCCAGGGACGTACGACCTCCAGCACTACCTCCGTCAGCCAGACATACGTCTCCAAGAACTTCGTCTACCACACCTCTGTCAGCCAGACGTTCTTCAGCCTCAAGGAGCTTGCAGAGTCAGACTTCCACACTTAGCTCGTATATCCGAATGTAACCAGACCAATAGAGGCCTTATATTGTAATGGGCCTCCCAAGCCTGAGACTTGAGAGTCCAGGCCATACTTTCCCTATAAATGCTCCCATGGGAGTAGTTGTAAGGGTTGGAAAATCATTAATACAGATAACTTCTCTCTCTAGCTCTCACTTCTCTCTAGACATATAATCTATCAAGGACCATAACTTTTTAATTCCCAAAATAAGAGTTTGAATTCATGTTTTACCCTCTCACATTTAATGTTAGTCTTTTCACTTTCCATGTTGTCAATCTCCTTATGTCTCATTCGCCCAACATCTCTTCTACCATCCTCCACTCCCTTATCTCATACACCACTCATGTAGACATCTCCATTCATCCCTCTTTCTTCTCACATTCCATTCATTTAAAAATTTGACCATTCCTAGTGTATTTCAGAGGACGATGAAACTTACTCCAATCTCCGACAAATTCGAGTGGTGGTATAGAATGTCATTTCCCCCTTGTTTCTTCTTTTCTCCTCCTCCTTCCTCATTCTTCCTCTTCTTCTTCCTCCTTGTCTTTGAGCAACTCTTTATTCTTCTTCCGATTAATTTGTTTTCTATTTTCTTTTGTTTTTTTGCTTAATTTTTATCTCCAAAACGAAAATTGTCATTTTAGATCTAAAATCTTTGGATTTAAAATTGAGAGGCTCCGACTATCGACTATATAAAATTATGGATCTTGATTTTACTCCGTATTTATTTATTTCGCTTTATTTGGTTAAAATATTGAAATAAACTTTTTCTGGTATTTTCCAGTTTGAGAGTCCTTATTCGAAAATATTGCCATTTTAAGATGGCAATATTAGTCTTTCAAAAGTACATTAATTGTAATGCCATATTTTTCAGAATGACAAATAATACCACTTTTTTACAAATAGTGCCACATTTTTTACAAATAGTGTCATTACAAGGGTGGTAATATGGCATTAATAAGTCATTATATTTTTAATGTAAAGATGGCATTAAGACTCCTGTTTTGTGTTTTTACAAGGATGATATTCCACTTTGTCTTCCCAAAACAGAGATGTACGTACACCAATCTCGCGAGATGAGGAGGGGTAATGTTCGAAGACATGGGGTTCGTGTTGTATGGTGCGGTGGCGGCGCAAAGTGAGAAGGCCACGAGAACAAACAAGGCAGTCGGCGGTGAACACGTTGGATGAGGTGGCTGACAATGGCGGTTTCTGATACGACAACCGAGGACAACGATTTTAGATCGATGCAGCGGTGGCGTCCGTGCCGGAGATAGGGGCTGCCGCACATCAGATTTGGTGTGGTCATACATGTGTACTCTATCTCTATAGTTATTTGTATTATTATTTTGTTTTGTAATAACACTCCGTATTAATTAATAAATGAGTCAGCTTTTCATTAAGGGTAGTTTTGTCTACTTAAGTTTATTTACTCCTATCAAACATTGAACTCCTATTTTTGCACTTTTAATATGTTTTAGTCTATTAGGGAATTCTTTGGAATTTATTTGTGCAACTTCAAGTTCAAGCAGTAGGCATAACCGATCGAGAGACTATTTTTTTGAAGAAAAGAGAGCAAAGTTAAGGTAAACTCATATACTCTTGATCATATTTCTCTTCTTTTGTATCGCAGGTCGAGAGGCTTAGAAGAAACTTTGGAAATTGTTGAAACTTAACACAACTGGTGATGAAGGCTGAAACTTATCTCCTTTGCTCAAATTATTATATCAAGGCCAGTCATACACCATCTACAAGATCATCCTAAGCTGCTTTGTCATTGCCGGTGGAGGCAGCCACGGAGAAGATGACAAAGGGCGATTGAGAGATGATTCCTAGCAAGAAGAGGCTTGTAGCGTGATTCTTCTAGAGCTGCTTTTGTACTGATCGCCAGTGCAAAGAAGAAGAAGCCGATGCTTGGGATGAAGCTGGTTCGCTGACTAGGAGTCTGAATTTTGACGATGTGTTGCCATTTTCTCCTGTCATCTGGACGTTCGTCAGAGGAGGTTGGAGTAATCTCTCAAAACTCAGGAGGTTTCGACCATGGCTACTGCAATTGGAAGCTGAGTTCGAGAAGTCGCCAGTCGGATTTTGTTGATGCAGCGGTTCAAAGCCGATCCAATAAGGTTAAAGCAGAGCATGGATTCGTCCATGTCCAGAAGCAGGTGATCGGATTTCCATTCTAGTCGATACCATCCAAACTTTGAAGAAGCCGTTGTCTTACTCGTTCAAACTTGCCATCGCCACTCGTTAGCCAAGAAGAAGAAGTTCAATTGATTACGACGAGGAAGATGAGAAGGTGCAAGTTCGTTGAAGAGGCGGGCCAGAGCTCCACTGTTGAGATGGTGCCAATTCGTTTAAAGAAGAAGACAATGAAGGAATCCATTCCATCACAGGTCGTCCAAAGAAGAGGACAATGAAGGAGCCAGTTCCATCGCAGGTCGTTCAAAGAAGAGGATAATGAAGGAACCAGTTCCATCACAGGTCGTTCAAAGAAAAGGACAACGAAGGAGCCAATCCCATCGCAGGTCACTATGTAGCCGCCGGAGAAGATGATGGGGTTGTCGTTGTCGGAGGTCGGTGATTGGAGACTTATGTGATGCCGTTGATGCAGGCTTTTCTTTGCTAAAGCTTATGTTCATTGATGAGGAACTCGATCGGTTGTTAGTCTGTTGTACCCCTTGCGTGAAGATGGTCCGAGAAAAGGGAAATCGAGGTGACCTCTTGTATTGGAGAATCAAAGAATATACATTCTTTGATGGAAATAATCCTCCCGAGGTTGAGTTGGCGCTTTTTAGGAGTCTTCGGTCTAATCACCTCATATTACGCCATCAAAATCATTGTATTGTAGAGCCTTACACTCCTCATCACTTTAGTTAGTTGCAAGTTTGGGTACTTTCAAGCTTATGCGCCTGGTTTTCTTGAGAAGCATAATTGGCGTGTTACACTTGCCGATGGATCTCGACTTTGGCCGCAATTTGAGCATGGCCTGTCATTAGCGAAAGCAGTTTTTCCAACTCCTCCGACTATTCTAGCGAAGTATTATTCCTTGGAGTATAAAGAATGGTGGATCCAAGTTCATGGTAGCTACCTCGAGAATCATGTGGGTGACTTAATTAAGATTTGTGATCTTGCAGTTGGTGATGTGGTTATCCCACCAGACCTTGTGACTCCGGTTTCCAAGAAAAAGAAGGTACCTGATACTGAAGTTAAGTCTTAGTCTCAGAAAAAGGCTAAGCTTGCAGTACCTAGGGATGAAGTTTTTATTAAGGATGTCGAGAAAGAAATGTCTCCTTCCAAGGCGAGTGAGAATCAATCTCTTGAGAACCAGAGCTATGATGAGAGGAATTGGAAACATCTTCAGAGAAAACGTTGTATTGGGCCACTGAAGATTAGTTTCATTATTTCATAGTTTTTATTTAAAGCTTGGACTTATATTTTCTTCCTTCCTTTGCAGATTCATGCAGTCCTTGGTGATGCTGGTTCTTCGAATCAGGTTTCTTCATCGAGTTCAAGCGAAGGGGAAAGCGTTGATTACAAGATTGTCGCTAAACTGATTGCCAAATCTGGTCCTAATCACTGCAAAGAAGTTTCAACCAACAAGATACCAAAGTGCTCTCCTGTGGAGCCGGTTGTGTCTGTATTTCAAGCGAAAGATCATTTCTTTTCCATGTACAAAGATTTTGTCACCAGATGCTGGAGGAGTATTGAAGACAAGTTAAAAAGGGCTTCACGGAGAATGTCTCTTCTCTTCGAGAAAATGTTGAGAGTTCAATCGAGATGACGGAAAGAGAAGAGATTGATCTTTCAATGTTGAAGGCGAGAGTAAAGCATTTCTTTAAGAGGACAGAAAGATTTGATCAAAAGTGATTAGCTATTGCTGACAGTGAAAGAGATATGTCCTAGAACTATTCATATGTGTATGACTTATAGTTGGATATCTGATGCTTATTAATAAGGTTTATTTTATTTCACCTTATATTCTTAAATATAGTATATTATTATTACTAGTTCACCAAGTATGTGACTTGGTTGTGGAATACTAGTCGTTTCGTAAAATATACTATGTCCCTAATCATATCTCTATAATCTAGGATTACGTAGACATATTGATTAGAGTGTGGGTTAGCTGATGACTATGTTCCACAAGTCATGAATATGGTGATATCAAGCTGAACACACTAATACTTGTTGGTGAACAAATATTGGACCGATCCGTTTTGGGAACACTGCAAGGAAATGTTATAAATGTCATCAGTGATGTTCCCTTTAGTGAAATCATATTGTCCTCGGACCTGAGATCGCCATGGTTACCAATATAGGGATCAATACATTAGACATTATCAAACGTTACTCCTAAATGAGTAACTATAAAGATAATGATCAAATGTATTATGAAATATATAGAGGTATGTGGTTGGTTAAGATGGGATTTGTCACTTTCATATATTGAGAGAAGATATTTTTAGGCCCCTTGATAAGTATATTTAATTATAGCATGGCCATGCATAAATGAGGTGTCATTTGTATTAAATATACTTGGAAATCAAGATACAATGATTGAACTATACAAGAATGACACTCGCCTAGTCTTGTGTTCAATCTAGATATCGTTTGGCAAAAGGAATATATATGTGACATAATATATATATAAGTTGTGTCGTTTTGAATTTTATATCCTTTGGATAATAATAATGTCTTACTAGAGACCGCTTTTTATTTGAATAATTAAAAGATTATTTAATTATACTACCAAAGGAATATAAACCTATAGGGTCGCACACTAAAACGTTTTGGATCAAAATCGGATATTGTTTGGGTCCGAATGACTTCAAGCCCATATCCGTTTGTTGCTAGGGTTTTCTATATTATGTTCTCTATAAAAGGAGGAGTCTAAAAGCTTAATAGTGCTGGCCGTTCTCACACATACATGAGACAAAACATAATTTGAGAAAAGCCTTTTGGATGCTAGTACATTGAGCAAGTCTGATCTGATCGTGTGTGCACACCGTAGAGGCGTGGTACTTTCTACGCTAGAATGACATAAACAAGTGCTAAGACCTAGGTTTTCATTGAACAATCAAAAGGTATGGTTTCATACGAACTTATAATGATTTGTTTCTTGATTTGTTGCAAACTATATTGCTTATTAGCAATTGAAATTCATGGAATAGGATAGATCTTTTTGTAAATGTTTTTGCTTCGTATCAAGCATGAGATGCATGTTCGTAGCTCGTTTCCTAACAGTGGTATCAAAGCCTTGGCTTACTATTCCATGGTTTTCAATTGGCATATTAGTATTTTCGAAAGAATCATGCAATACATCAAGTTTTGATCGAACTTTTGTATCATGTTTGTTGCGTTTCACAAACTGTCCATATTTCTTGAATATGACTTTCTTGAGATCTGATTATGGACTGGAACGAATTGCAACATCAATGTTTTTTTTTTGTTTTTAAGTATGATTATTAGGAAAGTTCGTATTATATGCTTGATGGAATATATGGGTCTAGGCCCCAGGACCCACATACTCAGAACAGAAAGCACAGCCACTACGCGGTGCCCTCGTCGGCCAGAAGACCCTCATCGGCCGAAGAAGGGCCAACCCAGAATATGATCTTGAAGCCAAGGAACCAGGGTGTCCTCGTCGGCCGTGCCCTCGTCGGCCGTGCCCTCGTCTGCCAAGACCCTCGTCGGCCACGGAAGACTCACAGAACCGAATTTTACACTTATTCATTCATATAGCTCACCAGTGGCTCTGTATTCGGCCCAGTAGCGGTCCAGTTGTAAATGGGCCTCCCAAGCCCAAGGCTTGGGAGCTCAGCCCGTATTTTTCCTATAAATACTTCCTCTGGAGGTAGTTATGGGGGTTACAAAATCATTCTATTGAAGCATATATTTTACTTCTCTCTCTAGCTCTCACTTCTCTCTAGACATTTACTCTATCAATGCTAAAGTAATTGAATGTTCACAATTACCTTAATTAGCATATACGAATTTCCTATAATATTTTCAATCATATTCGATTTGATTAGATCAAATCTATTGGAATTGGTTGATTTGATTTTATGTCCGTTTTGTTACATATATGATCGTGTTTTTAAGCATGTTTATTAGGAATGTTCGTATTATATGCTAAAGAAATTGAATGTTCACAATTACCTTAATTAGCATATACGAATTTCCTATAATATTTTCAATCATATTCGATTTGATTAGATCAAATCTATTGGATTTTTTTGATTTGATTTTATGTCCGATTTGTAACAAATATGATCTTGCTTTTAAGCATTTGTATTAGGAAAGTTCATATTATATGCTAGTGTAATTGAAAGTCCACGATTACCTTAATTAGCATATATGAATTTCCTATAAGATTTTCAATCTTATTAGATTTGATGAGATCAAATCTATTGGGATTTTTTGCTTTAATTTACTCCACGTTTTGTAAGGGGTATGATCTTGTCATTAACGTATCATTTTAGGAAAAATTCGTACTAAATGCTAGTGTAATTGAAATTTCACAATTACTATGATTAGCATATACGATTTTCCCATAAGCTTTTTTTTAATCATATTAGACTTGATGAGATCAAGATTAATGAGATAGTTTGTGTTAATATGATTAAGGAAAATGATACAATATGATTTTGAGAAATTTATTATATTAAGAAGTTTCCCATTGTATGCTATTATGATAAAAATTCCGCAATTACCATATTTAGCATATACGAATTATCTTGTTAGATTTTTCATATGATAATAGATCCAATAGAATTATGTCTAATGAGATTAGACATAATAAATAATAATTCATAGATTAAACTCTACTTATGGACTTTTACATGTATGTGATACTTCATGCTATGAGATAACACTAACCTGCAGGATTATGGTTATAAGTGATATAGTATGGCCATATTTTTTTTTTGTTTTGTACGACCTGCTTGTCGTTTAAATTATTGTACGTTTTTCATTTTTAGGATTTTGTATTAGGATGCAAAATGTAAATATTGTAAATTATACATCAAAAGATGGAAGAGTGCCCATCAAGGAGAAGCATGGTGAGCATGCTGGAGTGTCCAGAGCTACCAAGGATGGAGTGCTAGAAGCTAATAATAGCTTGATATATTGGCCATACTATATCACATGGATTTTACCCATATTTATTGCTTTGTGATTGTTTAAACACCTTATTGCATTGCATAGTTATGTCCCTATAAAAATGAATCATTTGTGCCTTTCCAACATTGACAACTATTACATATTATGAAAATTATAGAAGACGTTTGCCAAAGGAGAGTCATCTAAAATTATCATAATAGTATGAATGTCGGACATTCATTGGTCATAAAATGTTGGTTTGATCTCAAACAGTCATCAAAATGGTTTTGGACTTTGAGGCAAAGTGTTGAGTACCTCAAACATAAGATATAAAACTCAACAAACCAAGAATTGCATAGGGTGTAATTAGCAATTGTTGCTTACCCAATTAACAAAGTTTTGAGTGAAAAGCCAAAGCTTTCTCAAAGTTTTGCTAAAAGGGATCTTGGTCCTACTATGTCCCATTGGGATGTTTACTTGTTTGACATAGTAGGAGTCTTTAATAATAAGCACACATATTAATCTTTGTACATGTTTTCTGTTGAAAATGGCAAATAACAACACATCCACTTTTTCCCTGCGATCCGTCCTTGAGAAGGAAAAACTGAACACAACCAACTTCCTAGACTGGTTTAGGAATTTGATAATTGTTCTCAAGCATGAGAGGAAAGACTATGTCCTCGAGAATGCAATTCCTGCTGAAGAACCAGCAGCTAATGCCCCTCGTGCTCAAAAGGATGCATATCAGAAGCATCTAAATGACGATTTGTATGTTTCGTGCCTCATGCTTGCTAGCATGAACGCTGATCTGCAAAAACAGTTTGAAAACTTAAGTGCTTTCGACATGGTTAAGGAACTAAAAGGTTTGTTTCAAGAACAAGCTAGAGTTGAACGCTATGAGACTACTAAGTCTTTGTTCTCATGCAAGCTTCACGAGGGAAGCTCTGTTAGCCCCCATGTACTCAAAATGATTGGGTACATTGATCACCTTGAAATGTTGGGGACAACCATTAGCCAAGAGTTGGCTACTGATGTCATTCTCCAATCGTTGTCAGAATCATTTGATGGTTTCATCGTGAATTTCAACATGCACAACCTGGAGAAGACATTGAATGAGCTTCATGGAATGTTGAAAACGGCTGAGCAGAACATTGTTAAGAAAAGGAAGAACGGTGTTCTAGTGGTTCAAAAGGGAAAGGGTTTCAAGAGACATGGAACTAAGAAAGGAAAGGGCAAGGGCAAAACTCCAGTTAAGAACTGGAAAAACAACAAGGTGAAATCTGAGCCCAAGCCCAATCCACAAGTTGAAATGTTATGCTTCCACTGCAATGAAAAGGGTCATTGGAAGAGGAACTGTAAGAAATACCTTGAGAAAAAGAAGGGAATGAATTCTTCTAAATCAGGTACTTACGTTATAGAAGTAAATATTACTTCAGCTTCTTCTACTTCTTGGGTATTATATACTAGAAGTGCATCTCACATTTGTACAAATGTGCAGGGGTTCAAAAGGAGTAGGAAGCTGGCTAAAGGGGAAGTGGACCTCCGAGTTGGAAATCGAGCAAAAGTTGCTGCTTTAGCCGTAGGGACACTCGAAATACCTTTGCTTTCAGGACTTATTTTAGAATTGAATAATTGCTACCATGTGCCTTCGTTTAGCAGAAACATTATTTCTATTTCCTTGTTGGACAAGGAAGGTTTTGAATTTAACTTTAAGAACAATAGTTGTTCGTTTTCTAAGAATAATGTGCACTATGGTTTTGGCCAATTATTGGATGGTCTTTACATTCTAAATCTTGAAATAGATATCTATAACGTAAGTAGTAAGAGAATCAAGTCTGATGATTCTAATCCTACTCTTCTATGGCATTGTCGCTTAGGCCACATAAATGAGAAACGCTTACAGAAGCTCCATAAAGATGGTCTTCTAAGTTCATTTGACTTCCAGACTCTTGAATGTTGTGAATCTTGTTTATTGGGAAAGA